ACTTCCTTGGTGGTGCAGTAGTTGAAAATCTGCTCGCCGATTCAGGGGACACGGGTTCGTCCCCTGTCCAGGAGGATTCCACAGGCCGCAGAGCAACGAAGCCTGTGAGCCCCAACAACTGAGACTGTGCGCCTTAGAGCCTGTGCTCCACAGCACGAGAAGCCGCTGCAGGGATGGTGTCCCGCAACTAGAGAGGCGCCCCTGCTCATCGCCACTAGAAAAAGCCTGCACACAGCAACGAAGACCCAGCACAGACAATACATAAATAGATACATCTTTAAAAAAAGGTGTGACGCTCAAACCGCACTCCACAAACTTGGCCATCTCTGAGGATCAGAAGGTAAACAGTGTGGGGCACCCCCAGAAAGACCCCACCTGCACCTACAGACAAGCAGGGACTGCAGGGTCGGAATATCCTTGCAGAGAAAGGTTCTGCCCTGGAGGAACTTCCAGCATCTCTGAAGCACACTCGTGGGGTGCCCAGAGCCCCCAACCTCGTTCCAGCCACACCCTGTGCTTACAGTTCGACGGCAAGAAGCTGTCACTGTCCCCACCAGAGAGCCCTGCATGGTGGCCACCACATCCTTCCCAACTACACACACTCTGTCTCTCCAGGGCCATGGTGAATTCGCACAAATTGTGCAAGGCGACTTTTCAGGCAATGGCTAAAACCTAGCTGGCAAACCCAGGCTCTATGAAGGTACAGGCCTCCTGCCTCTGTATGAGGCATGCAGTGGGGGAGAACAGTCCACCCTGGACTAATGGAATCCTAATAGTGAGACGCACACAGTCAGGAAAAGAAATGCAATTTCCTTTTGACCCGAAATTAATTTTCAGAAGAAAATTGCTTTATCACGTGGCCTCAAGATGAGCTTCGAGCCCAGCACCTGCTGCTTTCCAGAGGGGCCCCCGTCCTCGGCTGAGGCTCAGGGACACCGTGTCTTCCCTGAGAACCAGGCCGGGAGCAGACCTACACTGGAAACCTCGCTGGCCTTGAGGACATCTGGTCAGCTGGCAGCCGAGGGGACAGCTCCCGCCCCGTTCTTCCGACAGGAATGTGAGGATCTTGGAAGCCTGGGGCCCGTCCAAGCATCTCAGAATTGCTACAAAACAACGGCGCTGCTCTGCTTAGGACATGGCGCGACTGGTGGCATTGCTCAGCCACAGTCGCCCACCTGGGCCTTTGCCGTGAGGGTGGGTCTTCACGGGCAGTAGCGGGGTCCCGCTCACCCACCCTTGGGCGGGATCTGTGGTTCTGGGCTCTGACCCTCATCGTCCCGCGCATCCCTTGTGACCCGGAGGTCTGGCCGATGACTCAGACACACACATTCCTCTCCCGCAGCTGGTTGGCTGGCGACCAATTATCTCCCATAAAGACTTGGCCCTGAACTCCCGCCCCAGCATCTCAACATTGATGGAACTGGTGTCAACACATGTTGATGTTATTTAGGAGAGCATGAAATTCCCCCTGGATCCAGAGCGCTCAGGACGTCTGGACAGACTTACAGGACGGCTCAAAGACGCTGACGGCTCTGTGTGACAGATGGGGAAACTGACCCCAGAAAGGGGGCTCCCAGGGGTAGGACCAGAAGCCAGGCCTGCTGGCCGCCAGCTCTGCTGGGCCCTGACGGGACTGCGTCCCGGACCCCCAGATCCCGGGCCAACCCAGCTCCCAGCTCCCCGTCTGCCTGTGAGGCTGCCTCGGGCAGGGCCGGGGCAGCGGCCAGCCCAGCTCCCGCGGCATGAGTCCCGCTGGCCGCCGTCTTGCAGGCCGGTGGATGGGGAGGCCTTCACGCCACCCTCTGGGACCATCTGGGAAATTGTGGCCCCGGCCACCGCAAGGTCATAACAGCAATACCACGGGACCAGAGCCCCACCGGTGGGGCCTCAGGGGGAGGTGTAGTCACCATGGCCAGACTGGAATCCTCCCCTTACACGTGCTCCCGGGACCCCCTCACTCCCTGTCGGCTCGCGGTAGGGGCTGCGGACTCTCTCCGCCCAGGCCTGGGGGCCAGTGCAGGCTGGGCTGGGGCTGCCGCATCCTTCCCGCCCCCAAGACCAGACAGGCTGCAAGCCTGATGAGCCCCTGACTTGGTGGGCTCCCAGCCAGCATGCCAGAGCTCACTCCAGGGGCGGCTGCAGCCCGCTCAGCGCCGGGAGAGACCCTGAGGATTAGAAGGGAAGGCCAGAGCTGAGCCAGGCACCCACGCTGGCCGAGTGTGAGCCGGTGGGCTGGGCCGCGCCTGGAGAGCGTCTCTCCCGTCCTCCCCCAGGGGGGAGGCAGGAAATACCGCAGGACTGCTGCTCGGCCCGGAAGGCTGGGGCCGTGACCCTGGGACACCTCTGCTTCTGGGTCCTGGTTCTGAGCAACGTGTCTAAGGTCAATAATCAAAGTCATAACAGGCCTGCCGTCATGGGGAGCCCATCACAGAGCAATTCCAAGGAGAAGTGGCCCGACCAGGTGGCCCACGTCTGGCCCTAGAGAGGGTAACGCAGCATTTCAATCTCAGGCAGTATTTCAAGGAACAAGAAAACTATCCCCACAGTGTCCTAAGAGAAGCTGAGTGCACAAACTGTGTACAGTTTGTGGGACGATCCTGCTCCTGTTTTAGAATTTACAGGCAGAGGAAAGGGACAGACGGCGGAAGGAAACATTCTGTTCACTTCGGGCTTTCTCTCAGGTGGAACTGGAGTTCTTGTTAACTTGCTCGTGTCTTACGAATGTTCCCGCTATTTACAGTGAAACACTGACGCCCGTCAACTCTTCGGCCAGACCATCTGGCTGGTGAGAAAGGGCAGGCTCAGCGAGGTCAAGGGGGGCCACCCAAAGGGGTCGCGCCAGGAGGAGGTCTGCACCCAGGCCCTGCACAGCAGCTGGAAATGGGGCAAGCAGCGAGGTGCTTGCGATAGAACCGCTGAGCCAGCTGCTGGGGGGGTGGGGGGAGGCAGCGGAGAGAAGCAGCCTGCGGACTTCCTGCACCCCGCTTCTGCCCCCGAGCACCCTGTAGCCCCCAACTTGTGCCTGTCGACCCGGAACAGGCTTCACCCTACAGTCTGGCCTCCGCTTCCACTGGCCCAGCCCGGCTCCCAGGCCCCAGAGGCCAAGGTGCAGCCAGCCAGCCATGGGCCAGGCCTGGGGAGGCAGCCAGGGCCAGGAAGGGCCGCCCCCCCGCCCCCCAGGGTGGGTGTGGGGAGGCAGCCGGAGCCCGTTGTCCCAGCCCAAGCCCCCAGCGCCTCCCTGGAGTGGTCCTCAGCTGGAGGGGCAGCCTTCCCACCTGCTCTCTTCAACGCGAATCCCGAACCACACACAGGCTGAGCCACGCCAGCTGCCCACCCCCAAACCCGCCCGACGTCCCAAGTCAGAACCCCTACTCCCGAGTTGGGGACACTGCACAGACCCCCCCCTGGGGGGCCGAGAGGGCCCGAGCTGCCCTCAGGGCAGGCCAGCGGCCACAGTGGCCTGGGGCGGAGCTGTGCTGTGCTCTCAAGATGCACACCCTCTCTGGTCCTGGCAGGCAGCGCTGCACCAAGGAGGCAGGAAGCGAGCTAGACAGAGACAGCCCCGCTTCCTGCCCCCAGCGTGGCCTCCGAGAGCGCAGGCAGAGCAGAGCGCCTTTATCTGCCTCCTCCTGGCAGCCTCCTTGCTGACGTCAGTGAGACACTGTTTACTTGCTAACGGGACCCAGACTGCGTGACCTCCGCCCCTCTGCAGGCCAGGATCTGGAACCTTCCCGCAAGCTCCCAGAAGAACGCAAGGAGAGTAAAAGTGGGGGTGCCCTCAAATCCAGCTGTCTGTCTACCCCCTGCCTCCTTACGGCCTTGTCTGTGTTATTGACACAGAGTCACGCGGTTTTTTATGTTCCATTAGCTGGGGGGGCCTGGGCAGTCCATCCGACTTCTCCGAGCTCAGGTTAGGGAAGCACCTGTCCTGGGGGTAACATTTCCTACATCAGGAGCTGCTGGAAGACCTCATTCAACGCATGGGGCTGTGACCACCTCCAGGGTGACGGCACACCTGCTAACAGGGCAGTGCTGCCCCCCGCCCACGGGGCTCCTGCTCTGGGAACGTGCGGTCACGTCTGGGGTGCTCCTGGCGTCCAGGGGATGCAGGCCGGGCCTGCCGCTCCACATGCTGCAAAGCTCCCCGCCCCGAATATCTGCTCCACAGCATTGTTGATTGCGTAGGGCTCAGAAGCCCTGAAAGAAGCTTCACGCCACCGGGAGGGTGAAGCTGGAGCCGTGTGAGCCCTTGGCCGACAGCGGCTGACGTTACTTTGACCGCCTGCTCCTCACCTCGGCCCCAAGAAGTCAGAGTGGAAATCGTTACACTTATTTTCCAAAAAGGAAACCAAAGTCCAGGAGTAGGACGTGCTCGCTGACCAGAGCTGGACCCTGGACCTGGCCCAGGGTCTCGGAGGATGGCGGGTCCACTGGAGCTGTCCACAGTCTCAGAAGCTTCTGGCCCTGGGACCCAACTTTCTGAGCTGGGAGATGGGCAAGGGTGCTGCCCAGGGGCCTGGCAGGGCACCCTGAGCAGTCCCTGCCCCCTCCCATGGTGCCAGGGGAGGGGGGACAGTCAGGAAGACCAGCTCTCTGCTCAGGACACGCAGGCCTCGGGAGCAGCAGAAGTGACCACTGTCCTCAGCCCCGAGCCCCGCAAGGAGGCGCAGGAAACGTGCTGATGCGGGAGGGCGTGCCCCACACCTGAGAGGCGGAGACGGCAGGCAGCCGCAGAGGCAGCAAGGCTGAGGCAGAAGCTGGGGACCGGGCCCCCCACGGACGTGTGCCAGGCACTGACTTGGATCCCCGCTCCTCCTCCGAGGCCCTAACAGCCGGTGGGCGTGACGTCTGGACCCCCACTTTATTGCAGGGAAGCCGGGCCCAGGGAGATCCAGAACCTTGCCCAAGGGCACGAGGCTCCCGGGCCCCGGGTTTGTCCCCGCGCCGCACGCTGCAGCTGCCACCCACAGCCCGGGGGCCCCTGGGCAGCTGCCACCTACCAGGTGCCCGGCGGCTCTCACCAACTTGTGGGTGGAGAAGGGGAAGGCCTCGTCGCTCAGGTCGGCCTCCAGCACCTCCTGGAGAATGGCCCGGCTGTGAGCAAGGACAAGGCTGGTCAGTAAGTAGGGCAACACACACCTGCCAAGCCCCGCTGGGTGTGCGCCCCAGGCTGGGAAGGCTCTGAGGCCGAGATCCTGTCCTCACGGGGCAGACCGACAACAAACATGCTGTTAATAAGCACACCGAGACGGAGACGCGCAAAGACCCAGTCACACAAGAAAGGTGCCTTCGGGACTTCCCTGGCCGTCCAGCGGCTAGGACTCTGTACTTCCACTGCCGGGGGTGTGGGTTTGATCCCCAGTGGGGGAGCTAAGATCTCAAATACCAGGTCCCCGTCAACGCCCCCGGCCTGAGCCTGTGGCCCTAATATGTCTCCTGCCAGGGCACCTCTCGTGGTTGCAAACCTGCCCCACTGAACCGGGAGCTCCGTGCCGACAGGGCCCCCTCTGCAGACGTGCCTGGCACAGAGAGAGGGCATTCGGTAAATGGGACTGATTGAAGGTGGGCTGGCTTTGCACTGCTGGGCCAGCTCCCCATCGGCAGCAAACAGCTCTCAGCCACTCCCATTTCTGCCTCGCAGGGTCCTAGCCGGTGCCCAGAAACACTTCCGACCCTGATGATCCCCGCCCCACACGGTGCCGGCAGCTGCCCACCCACGCCGGCCCGAGGTGCCCAGCCCGCTGGAGTGAGTCAGGATCCTTATGTAACACCGCGGCACCCACGCGTGCCCGCCCTGGAGAATACACCTGGTCCTCAGGAAGCCTGTCTACACTGCAGCCCTGGGCGGCGGGGGCCAGGGCTGCTCCCTTGTCTGCCCCCAGGGTAAGGAAGAAGGAGCTGGAACTTGGGCTCAGCAGGGCTGGGGGTCCCCAGTCGGGCACCAAACTGGGCACGCAGGTCTGCAGGCCACGGGCTGTCCCTCCCCCAGTGGGCAGCAGGTGGCACCGGAGGGCACAGGCTCTGAGCAGAGGCCAGGGTCAGGTTTACTGTCCCTCCTCAGCTAGCGTTGGGCCCCCCTCGTGGCCCTATGAGGACAGTGAGGCAGGCGTCAGCCGGACTCCCCGAGCCGAGCACCTGGGTATGAACCACGCGACAGCGACCACTGCCCCCGGGCTGGCTCCACCAGCCACGAGTGGTCTACTGAGCTTCCACTAGTTAAAACAAAAAAATTCTGTCTCACTGGCCACCTTTCAAGGCCTCACTGGCCACATACGGCTTAGAGGCTACTATACGGGCTGTCAGTTATGAACTGTCTCCTGAAAGTTCCACTGGTTGGAAGGTCATCCAGCATCTCCCATGGTCCAGGTGCCATGAAACGCTTCCCACGGAAGAGCTCAGAAAGTTCAGCCCTTATCGGCGGTGCTGGTGACATTATTATTCATACAAGAAACTTCGGGTTATTTTTGAAGGAGCGAGGACAGTTTGGAGGAGAAAGTTAAGAAATCACCCAGAGGAGGGGAGCTCGTCTTCCTGCCCTGGCAACCGTCACTCGCCGCCCTCCTGGAGCAGCTTATAATGAGGCTGGGAGAGCTGGCCTGTCCCCGCAGGCCGCGCCTTGATCAGTCTGTCTGGCGCCCCCTCCCTCCCCTGCGCACTCACTCCCCACCACACCAGAAATAACCCAGTCCCTCTCCAAGGTCGCCATGGCAATGAAGCTTCTGAGGACCGCCTAGCGCTCAGGAGTCCAGGACCCCCAATCTCCGTTCAGCCCAGAGATGTGGATGTCAGCTCACCCAGGGGAGAAATGCAGAACCCGCCCTGCAGAATGGGGTGCTTCCCCGGGCTGGGCCAGGGCAAGCGTGGTCCACGCGTCTTTCTGCAGAATCCCAGCATCCCAGCTCTCCTGCTGCAGCCGGCAAGCTCAGCCTCCCTCCACACACCCCATTCCTGTCCTCCCCTCCTGTCTCAGCATGCCCCCACCCAGCCATCCCTGAGATGACCCTCGTCAAGTCTGCAGGAAGCAAGGGGCCGCCAAACCCACCTGTTGATGCTTAGTCTTTGTCTGCCTTGACCCGCTGACCACCCGGACACAGCTCATCACTCCCTCTTTGGAGTCCCTCCGTCCCCTGGCCCTTGAGGCTCTGGCCTGCCTCCCACACTCTGGCCCAGCATCAGAGACCCTGTTAAAGCCCACATCCAACCGCACCTCTCCTCCGCTCAGCCCCCTCTCCTGGAGGAGCAGCCTCTGCACTCACAAGTCTGGCCTCCGCAGTCCTCTGAACTCATCCTTTCCCACAGCCCTGCCCTCGCTGCTTTTCCTCTGCCACAGGACCTTTGCACCTGCCACTCCCTCTGTCTGAAACACTGTCCCTTCAGAGAGTGCCAAGGCTTGAGTCCCCATTTCCTCCAGTATCTCCTCCAAGGTCCCCTTAACAAACACTGGTTTTCATGAGCAGCCTGAAGTCCAGCATTTGATGGGTAAGGTACATGACCAACTCTGACTCTGCGAGCATGTACTGCCTGTCCGCCGTGTGCCTCTGGGCAAGGTGGGGCACACGCAGAGCCACCTGCAGCTCTGCCCAGGAGGGGAGGTCCATCCACCCAGGACCCAGCCCGGGAGATGTTAGATTGGCCAGCTCCAAGGCACCAGGGAAAACAGACCCTTTGGCGGGGTCTGACGGCACCGACCAGGGACCCTGATATGACCCCAGGCTGACAGGAGGTCCACGGACACAGCTGCGCTTCGTCTAAGCGAGCAGCTGGGGGATAGCCTGGCTGGAGGCATGCTGCCCTCTCTTCTTCAACACTAAGAAAAGAAAACAGTTCTCGCCACCTCAGAGGGCTAGGGTCAGGACTGGAGCAGATGTTGGCGCATCCCAGGCATCCCGCTGGCCGATGCTAACACGCTGTGCTTGCCTCCTGGTCCTCCACCACCTCCCCCACCCAGACCCTTCTCTGAAGCCCAGCCCAAGGATCTTTCCAAAATGCACACATGCTCAGGTGTCCTGTTGCCTCAGACTGTCCCGTGGCTCCAGGCAGAAACCAGCATCCAAGGGCCTTCTGGGAGCCGGTTCCTTGCGGGTGGGAACACAGTTCAGTAAACGTTCATAAGATGAATCAAGGAGCGGATGATCGTCCGTAGACCTAGTCGCTGGAGGTGCTGAGGGAGCAGCCAGTGTCCTCCTGGTGCGGAGCTCCATTCTCAGCGAGGGTGGCACTGGGAACCCCAGTCTGGCTCTGCCCACTTAGAGATGGCATACACGGTTCTCAGACCATATCAACCAGCCAGAGGCACCCCTGCCAGCCCTTGCATGACCCCTGAATCCTCAGATACTGACTCACTGTAAGGTTGAGTGTGAGTCATACCTTAAGAGCTTTTCCATATCCCAGTGCTTTGAAAAGCATTTTCCTGGTTGGCCTCTTGGGGGTCGCTGGCACGTTCAGCTCACTAGCCACCGCGTCCCATTCTGGACCAGTAAATGGTTCTGCCTCGGGCCCAGACAGAGGGACAAGGCATACCCCGGCCCTCGGGCCCCCGTCCTCTCCTCACCTGGCCGGGCCCTGGACGCTGAGCAGGCCCAGGTCCTCGGAGCTGTCGATGAGCTGGCACCGGAACTTCCGGTCCTGCAGCACGGTGCTGATGTGGGACCAGCTGTGCTGGGCCACGGCCCCGCCCACAGCCAGGTAGTAGCCGTCACCTGCGGGAGAGGCGCCGGGACTCAGAGCAGGGCTGCGGGGAGGCGGGAGCGGGCAGGGCCGGGAGCGGCGGCCCATGGCCTCTGGGGAGGAAACAAGGCCTCCTCCCTGAATGTGAGCCACCCGGGCCCAAGTCGGGGGACCCTCCCAATGGGGCTCTGGGTCTCATCACCCACAGGACAAAATGCCAAGGGAGCATTTTCTGGGTGTGTCCGAGGCTTCCTCCCCCTTCTCAAAGGGGCTGTGATCCAGGGAAGCGTAAGGGCCCCAGCGCCGTCACCCCACGTCCCACCAGTGCTGGGAGACCTCGGACAAGTCTCTGTCCGTCTCTGAGACAGCATCCTCACCAGCCCCCATTTCTCTCCACTTTCCCATGCCCCCGCCCCAATCCCAGGGTTCCCTACAGTGGCCTTTCGGGGGCTGGCACTTTTACAGGCACCACACTGCTGACCCTACCCCGGAGGCTGACACGCGTCAGGACCCTCCGGTTTCCGAAAAAGAGACTGAGATTCAGGGAGGCCCCACGTACGAGAAGACTGGCCTGTAGCCAGCTCTGAGTCCACGGCCTGTGGAGCAACCACTGGGCCACACCGCCTCCCGGGAACTGCTGAGTGGAGGGCAGCCCAGCTCTGCCCAGTGTCCTGAGAGCCACTGCTCTGGGTGGGTGACCTCAGACGGCCATGCGGCTCTGGGTCCCTGGAGAAGGAAGTGCTGCCCACTGTCTGTGGATCTCGGCCACCGCTCTCCCTCCCGGATGGGAGGGGCTGCCGCACGGAGACCAGACGGCTCCCACGGCCACCAAGGGGTGGGCGGGGGGAGCCGGAGTGATGGGCGGCCACCAAAGGGTGGGCGGGGGGAGCCGGAGTGATGGTGGAGTGATGGGCGGCCACCAAGGGGTGGGCGGGGGGAGCCGGAGTGATGGGCGGCCACCAAGGGGTGGGCGGGGGGAGCCGGAGTGATGGGCGGCAGACCTCGCTCAGGGTATCAAACCCATGCAGACAGGAGCAAGGACACTGAGCTCCCCGTCACAGGAGGCATGCAAGCAGAAGCTGGGGGCCTGCAGAAGGCTCCAGGTGTCAGCCTTGGCCCAGAGCTGCAGACCTTCCAAGGACCTGCCCCCACCCTCAGCCTGGGAGTTACATGGGAAACCAGACAGCCGACTCAGCATAGATGCCGGAGGCTGGAAGGAGGTAACTTCTCCCTCCACGTGGGAGGCATGGCCTTATCCTTGGCTCACCCTGTTCCGGGCAGGCAAGCTGAGCACACCCACGCTGCGGCCGCCCTGAAACCCCGCAGGACAGGCAGGTTCAAAGGCGTAACCACCGCGTGCTCAGCGCTCAGCATCGCCGCCCGAACAAAGGCTGCATTCAGCCTGAAGCAAGACCTCTGATCTCCCAGGCCCTGACCACAGCGGGTACAGGCGGGATTGCAGAGCAGCCTCGGAAGCCCTTCCTGCCAGTCCCGCACTGGTTGCTGCCTCACTGAGCCAGGCTGCCATCGGGGCGCTGCTGGGCCTCGGGGCCCCTCTCACCTTCAAAGGCCGGGGCCAGCGGGGAGGCCTGGGGGCCGGGGGCCAGGCGGCTGACGGTCAGGTCGCCCTCCGTGCCCCCGCGGTGATTCAGCATGCACGTGTACACTGTGGAGCCTGTGGGCAGGAGACAGACCCCGGGGAAGGGGGGGGGGAGCCGCTCAGCAGGGCAGGCAGCCCCTCAGGGCAGGGCAACCTTGGTCACATGCCCGGGGGGACCTTGATAGACGCCTCGGCTTGGTGATGCCACCGCGACTGAATGACCCAGAGAGGGACGGCAGGTCACCGAGCACTGCCATCCTCGGAGGAGGAAGGAGCAAGGAGACTTACTTGTTTTTTGAAATGTGGACGGGGTGGGTGGGTAGAAGGGTGCTGGCAGGATGAATGGGGGGAGGGGGATTAGCGGAGCTGAGTAGCAGGGGCATGTGATGAGGTGTGTGGGTGGGTTGGCTGGATACACGGTGTAATGGGTTGAACTGTGTCTCCCCAAATGGTGTGTTGAGGTCCTAACCCCTAGTCCTTCTGAAAAATGGACCTTATCTGGAAATAGGGTCTTTGCAGACGGGATCATGTTAAGAAGACCAGAGCTCATGAGAGTGGACCTGATCTAACACGACTGGTGTCCTTAGAAGAAGAAGACGCAGGTGGCAGCCATGTGACCGCGGAGGCAGAGGCTGGAGTGATGTAGCTGAAAGCTGTGGACCGGCGGCCACGGCCGGAAGCCAGCAGATGCCACGGTCTCTGGCCCTGACTTTGAACTTCCAGCCTCAGACTCTTGAGACAGCACGTGTAGCTTGTTTAAAGCCACTCAGGGCGGTATTTTGGTGCAGCAGGGCTAGGAAGTAACGGCGATGGGGCTGGGAGGGGTTGGGGGTGGGCAGCTGGGTGGAGAAGATGCTAAGGGCCTGGGTGATAAAAAAAAGGGGAAACGAGGATCCCAAACACTGCCTGGGACACACTCACACAACGGGATTATTCATCCTTCATTTCGAATTCAAATGTAAGTGAGCATCCTGCATTTTTATTGAATTCTAGAAACCCTATGGGGAGAGCATTCCTGGTGGGGGAGTGGACAGGCTCCCCAGCCCCAGGAGACCATTCTGAGGGCCTGCTGCCTCGAATCCCGTCTGGAACAAAGTCAGAGGTGAGTAGTGGAGGACGCAGAGGAAGGTGGAGGCGGCCTTGGTTGGGGCTCAGCGACCAGGGCAGAGGGGTCTGGAGGCGGGGGCCCAGGGCCAGGCTGGTGGGCAGAGCCGTGAGCCGCGTGAGCCCAGAGTGGACAGGGTCAGCCTGCTTGCTGTCTCTGTGCCGGGGCCGCGCTGAGGCGGGAGAGGCGCATGGCCCACCCGCTCCGTACCTGGGGGCCGGCTGACGTCGGCCGAGAAGAGCCAGTCCGCAGCCTTCCTGGCGTCCGGGCCCACCAGGTAGAACTTCCCGAAGTAGGACATGTTGAACACAGCCGCGGCCCCTCTGCAGGCCAGACACTCCTTCTTGATCTGAAAGGTTCCAGAGTTGGGGTGCCGTGGGGGCTCCAGGACCTGCCTCCCCGACAAAGACCCCACAGCACTGGGCTCCTAGACCCTCTCCTCCCCTCCAGCGAGAAATGCACAGTCACGTTCTTCTCAGGCAGAGGGAAGGATGCCCGGCCGGTGCAGGAGGCCCAGAGAGAATGGGAGCCGTGAGAGGATACACTCCAAAGGGTGAAGGTCATGCGAAACATGTTCTTTGACCACAATGGAATCAAATTAGAAATCAGTAGCAGAAGGAAAATTGGGAAGTTCACAAATAAGTGAAATTAGACAACACACTCCTTAAGAACCAGTGGGTCAAATGAAAAAGTCAGCAGGAGGGTTACAGAACCCTTGGAGAGGAAAGAACAGGAGCAGATGCAAACTGTCGGGAGGGAGCAGCGCCCTGCTCATCCGGATGTTAGACCTGCAAAGGCTGTCAAGTCAGTCACCGCACACGCCACTTGGAGAAACCAGAAGAAGGAAAGCAAATTAAACCCAGTGCAGGCAGAAGGAAAGAAATAATGAAGACTAGAAAGGAGATAAACAAAAGTCTCAAGAGATAGAGAAAATCAGCAAAATGGAAAGTTGTTTTTTTTAAAGGTCAGTAAAATCGGCAAATCGTTAACTGAACTTACCAAGAATCAGAAAAGACTCCAAGTGCTAAAATCAGGAATGAAAGAAGGGTGTCGCTATCCATTTCATAGGAAAGAACTGTAAGGACGACTGTGAGCAACTGTCCACCGATAAATCAGACATGAAATGGAAATGCCCAGAAAGACACAAATCACTGAAGTCAGCTGAAGGGGAAACAGAAAGTCTGAACAGAACTATAACCAAAAGAGACTTATTCAGTCATTTCAGACTCTCCACACAGAAAAGCCCAGGCCCACTTGGCTTCACTGGTGAATTCTACCAAACATTCAAAGAAGAATTAATGCTAGTTTTTCACAAACTCTTCCCATGAGGCCAACATTACCCCAAAGCCAAAACTAAAGGCCTCATAAGAAAATCAGAGACCAATATCCTTCATGACCATAGTACAAAAAACCTCCATGAAATACTAGCACACTAGATTCAACAACATATAAAAAGGATACGTGATCAAGTGGGATTTATCCCAGAAATGGGAGGCTGGCTCACCATTACCAAATCAATGTAATGTACCATATTGATGGGACAAAGGACAAAAACCAAATGATCATCTCATTAGATGCAGAAAAAGTATTGGACAAAATCCAACACTTGTTCATTAAAAACTCCATGTAAACTACAACTGAAAGGGAATTCCTTGACCTGATAAAAGGCATGAGGAAAATCCCACTTAATGAGGAGAGACTGGATGTCCAATGCTAAGATCAGGAACAAGACAGGGCAGTCCTCTCTGCCACTTCCACTCAACATGGTACTGGTGGAACTTTTGTGCTGCCAGTGATATCATTAAAAAAGCGAAGAGACAACCCACAGAAGGGAAAAAGTAATTACAAATCATAAATCGGATAAGGGACTTGTATCCAGAATGTATACAGAATTCTTATAACCCAATAAAAAGACAAACAACTCAATTTTAAAATGAGCAAAATATCCAAATGGAAATTTATCCGAAAAAGATATAGAAATGGCTAAATAAGCACATAAAAAGTTGTTCAATATCATTGGTCATCAGGGAACATTGTACTGGATGTTCAGCCCAGGGCAATTAGGCAAGAAGAAATGAAAGGTGTCCATAATGAAAAAGAAGAAGTAAAACTATATTTGCAGATGACATGATCTTACATATAGAAAATCCTAGAGAACTCACTGAAAAAAATTATTATAGCTAATAAAATAGTTCAACAAGGTTGGAGGATATAGGGTTAGTATACAAGAAACAAAAAAAGTCATTTATATACAATAGCAGTGAGCAATAAATGAAATTAGGAAAATAATTCCATTTCAAAAAGAGCTTTTGAAGGCTTAGAAATAAATTGAACAAATGAATGGCAAATTTGTACTCCCTAGAAAATATCTCTGAAGAAAATTAAAGGAGACCTAAATAATGGAAAGGCCTCTCATGTTTACAAAATGAAGACTTACTATCGCCAAGATGACGGTAGCACCCATGTTGATCTACGGATCTGACAGGGTCTCTGCCAAATCCCAGCTGGCTTCTTGGCAGACACTGACAAACTGATGCTAAAATTCATACAGAAATGCAAGGCACTTGGAATGTTCAAAACAATCTTGAAAAAGAAGAACAAAGCTAGAAGATCTGCTCTTCTTGATTTCAAAACTTACTGCAAAGTTACTGTACTCGAGACAATGGTACAAACATACGGATGGAAATGTAGACCAATGGACTGGAATGGAGAGTCCAGAAATAAACCCTCACCTTTTTGGTCAGCTGATCTGCCACAAGGAAGCCAGGGCATTTCAATGGGGAAAAGAGTAACCGTCAACAGATGGTGCTGAACAGCTGAATAGCCGCTGGCAAAAGCCTGAAGCTGGGTCCCTACCTCACACCTTTCACGAAGCTTCATCAGAGTGGACCACAGACCTGAGTGTAAGACCAAAAACTATACAATTCTGAGAAGAAGATACAGGAGTAAATCATTGTGACCTGGATTAGGAAACACCTTCTTAAATATGACACCAAAAAAACAAGGGACACAAGAAAACATACGTAAGCTGTTGTTTTCGTTCAGTCGCCAAGTCATGTCCGACTGTTTGCAGCTCCATGGACTGCAGCATGCCGGGCTTCCCTGTCCCTCACCATCTCCCGCAGTTTGCCCAAGTTCATGTCCATGTCAGGTACATAAGCTGTACTTCATCAAAATTAAGAACTTTTGTGTTACCAGTGATGTCATTAAAAAAGCAAACAGACAACCCACAGAAGAGAAAAAATAACTAAAAATCATAAATCGGATATGGAACTTGTATCCAGAATGTATAGAGAATTCTTACAACCCCAATAAAAAGACAAACAACTCAATTTTAAAATGAGCAAAATATCCAAATAGAAATTTCTCCAAAAAAGATAGGGAAATGGCTAAATAAGCACATAAAAAGATGTTCAATATCGTTGGTCATCAGGGAAATGCAACTCAGATCATTGAGATACCACTTCACACCCACTAGGACGGCTAGAACCAAAAACAGAATTACAAGCGCCGATGAGGAAGGAGAAATTAGAACCCCGTCCACCGAGGGTGGGGACGTAAAACGGTGCAGTCACTTTGGAAAACCCTTGGCAGGTTCCCAAAGATGTTAAACATGGAGTCACTGCGTGCCCCAGTGCCCCCGCTCCCAGATACGAAAACTGAAAAGATTTGCCTAAAAACCTATACACACATTTGCAGAGCAGCATTATTCAATAGCCCCAAAGTCCAACAACTAAGTGTCCGTCCACAGGTGAATGGGTAAATATGAAGGGGTGTACCCTTGTGATGGAATATTGTTCTGAAAAAGAAGTAACAAAGCACTGACATGTCCTCAAACATGGAGGCAACACTGAAAACAAGCTCAGCGCAAGAGGCCAGTCACAAAAGACCACCGCTGTGTGAGCGCCTTACGTGAAACGCCCAGATACAACACATCTACAGAGACAGGACCTAGACTGGAGGCTTCTGGAAGGTGAGTTTGGGGTGAGAGAGGGGCAGAGGCCGCTGGAGGGTCAGGAGCCCGCACCTTCTCCCCCATCCCACGGTTCAGACGCTCTACCAGCGTCTGGCCAGCGGTCTACAATTAGCCTTACAGCCAGCTGCCCCCTGAGGCCCTGGCATGGTGGGTGGTCTGCTCAGGGTAACACAGGCGCAAATCACGGAGCCTGGGTCTGTCCAGCAGCACCCCGGCCCCAAGAAGCCCCCAAAGGCATCCTCCCCACCACGTCTTCAGTGATTCCAGCTGGACGGCAGGGAGGGCGCGGATGGCGAGTCTCCATACCAGGGAAACTGGCCAGAGCTGGGGCCAGCTCGCTGCCCTCCCTCCCGGAGCAGTGGCCACCACACAGCACCCCACTGGCTCATCTCCTGAGCCCCAAAGGCCGCTGCTCACCGCTGTCCAGACCCCGCCACCCTATACGGCTCCCCCTCTACCGTCAGGCATCAGGGTGCCTTCGCTTGCGCTGCTGGGGCTGCAGATCCAACCCCCAGACGACTTGCAGGCCAACTCTCGTCTGCCCGGGCTGGGGAAGCTGCCAAGGCTGAGAACAAGCGTGCGTCTCCTGCTCTGGGATGTCGAGGCGCCTCTGCTGGGAGGCAGCCAGGAAGCAGAGTTGGCACCCCCACCCGGCGCCCACATTCTCAAGGGCCTGAACACCCTGCGGGCCTTGGAAGCCACCCCGCAGAGGTGCCAGACGGAGCCCCGTTCGCTCCCAGGAGAGGCGGCCCCCAGGGCCTCCTGGACTTCCAGAGGCACATGCCTCCCCTCCCGTTTCAGAAGCCTCTTCCCCAACGCCTTCACTAGAGCAAGCTTTGGGGGGGACGCACGGGTCCTTCCCTGTGGGACCAGGTGGAACACGGGTGCAAAGTCAAAGTGTGGGCCCCGTTCAAAATATATTCAGAATTTGCAGGCAGCAGCAGCAGAGCATGAAACCCAGTCCAGGGCGCTTCCGAGCGAGGGGCCCCACACGACTGCCAGGGGTCCCACATCCAGGAGGCTTCCCAGGCCACCTGTCTCTGGGGACCCCCCTGGGCAGAGGCCGTGGCCCCAGCCCAGCATAGGCACTGAGCGGGCCTTCACCCCCTGCACGCTCGGCCAGGCGCTCAGGGACACAGCACGCTCTCCTCTGTAACAGAACCGCTGGGTGTCTCAGTGGGGACGCTGGAGTCGTCGTCTCTGCAGATGCTGAGGACATCCAGCGTGATGCAGACCTGGGGGAGGCCTGGCCCCTAGAAGCCAGGCGCGGAAGGGACCAGGGGCCACCGGAGCAGCCTCACCTGCCCATTTCTGGGGCAAGTGGGGCAGCGAGCGGCCCCAGCTGGGGTTGCCTCTGCTCACTGCCTGGGTGCCCCGTCTTGGACCTCCTTGTCCTGCGTCTGCTCAGTCAGAGAGGCAGACAGGAACCACGGCCCCGGACCTGGCAGAGGGCTCGCCATCCACAGTCACGGTTGGGAATGGCTCAGAGAGGTGAATCCCCGGCCCAAGACCACACAGCCTGAGCCAGGCCGGGCCGCCTCCTCCGGCCCTGACGCCCCCACCAGGCCTTGCCACTGGCAAAGTCTCGGTACAGCTGGAGGGTGGAGGAGAGCATCTCTGATTCTGCCTCAAAACTGAGTCGCCCCAAAACGGGGGTGGGGGTACAGGGAGCCGGCTGGGAGAGAGCCGGAGCTCCCCGGGCACCTCCCCCCCGACCGGCCCAAAGCGACGCCTCGCTCTCGGTCCCTTCGGAGTTGGGGACCTACCGCGTCGTGGTGCGGAGGGAAGCTGAAGGTGTGCTCCTGGCGCAGCAGCTGGCCGTAGGCGTAGTCCTCCCGCGCACGATGCCCGTATGCCCCGTAGTAGTCGTAGGGCAGCACCTGGGGCGGGAGGGGGCGTCACAGCCCTGCCCCTCCCACACACACCGCGTGGCCCGGAGCCGGTTCCCGTGGGGACCGAGGTCCACAGGACGGACAGAGCTTGGTCCTGCCCTCGCCAAGCCCCCACGCCCATCACGGGGCAGCACGTTCTGGATGAGGCCAGTCGGAGGCAAGACTCAGGCTTGCCAGCAACACGGCCCGAGTGACCCCACAGTCATCGCGGCAGTGGGAGGGCTGGGCGCCGAAGACGGAGAAGAAGTGGGGTGTGCTCGGGTGGGGAGGGGGGTGCTGGACAGCCAACAACCCCGGGTTGTCTGGGACCCCGGGGGCCACCCCAGGGCTTCCGTCTCAATGCCGAGGGGCTGGGATGAGGCCCAGGGGTCAGCCCACTGAAGAAGAGACAGAGTCGGGGGTGGGGTGGCTGCAGCATGGATTCCGGATGCTGTTGCCATGGTGATCCAGGACTTGGTCCTGCTCCGGGTCTGGCCCTGCTCAAAGGGCCTTGCACTTTCAGGAAGGGAGAGCCTCTGGACAGGTGGGGAAACCAAGGTGCAGAGAGACTGACAGCTGCCTCCAGTCCCTCAGAGTCCTGACTGCCTGGCCTGGGACAGGCGGTGCGCCCCGGAGGCCGGCCCGTGGCGCCTCTCGACTTGGCCACTCCTGTGCTTGGCCAGCCGCTCTCAGGGAGGCCCAGGACCCTGCGCCCCACTCCTAGTCCTGTTGCTGCCGATGTTGCCCCTCCTTCCCCACCCCTCCCTCCCAACTGTGCAGCCACTCCTGGAAAAGTGTGAGCAAGCCCGACCCCTCTCACCCCTGCAGGGCCAGCCCCGCCCCGTCTCCTCTCACAGCTGAGGGTGAGGTCCTGACTGAGCTGGGCCTCTCCGCTCCTCCAAGCACCCCCTCACCGCCCACCCCCGGCTCCTGGCCGAGCCCTGGTCCAGGGAAGGCCCTTACAGGAGTCTCTGCGGGAAGTCATCTCCCTGGCCTACCAGGTGGCTGCCACTGGCCCCCAGCCCTGCAGGAGCACCCCAGTCTGCTGCAGCCGGGCCAGGGAGCAGGGATTAGGGGACGTCCGGTCGCCCAATGCCCTGGGCTCCCAGGGTAGCTCCTGGGTGGGGGTCTGCAAAGCCCACCCATCTCAGAACCAAGGGTGTGTTCCTGATTCCGGCTCTGGTCTCCTTCCCTTGTGCATAGGTTCTGGGAAAGAGGGGCTTCCAGGCATCAGGCTGGAGGCAGGGAGGGGTCTGTGTGGGCCCCTCCTCTCTGCTGACCCCAGAAGCCATCAGGAACTTGCCTTGGGATGTGGTTGCTATGGAGATGGGAGATAGGTCACACTTGGAAAGTGGCTGCTGAAGTATAGCAACAGGAAAGCACTTCTCATGTGTACAAACCTGGATCCACTGCTTTCCCCCTGGTTGTATTGAAGCATCACACTGCCTGCCCCAGAGACCAGGGCCCGAGCGTCTCACAGGCAGGATGGCTTCCATTCTTTTCTCTCAGAACCCAGTTCCCTGGGAGGCACTGGGTGGGAGGTGGGAGCCCCCAGGAGGGCATCCAGAGGCCAGGACACTGCAAAACCCCAACTTACAAACTAACACACGGAATGCATAATTTTATGCTAAATCCTCCTACTCACATTAGCAGTTGCAGCTGCCAAAAATATATGAACAAAATTATGAGAAGATGCTCTAATCTCTCCCATAAATGGGGGAGTCTCGTGTGCGGCCTCCTCACTGTGGAGCACCAGATTTCCCGGCCCCTGGCCCATCTGGGCGGTGGGAAGCCGGGCACTGCGGGCGGTGAGTGACATCCACGGCAGGGCCCCGAGATCACGGCGGACCAGGCAGGTCGGCAGGGGTTAGACTTCTCCAAAGGCCGGACAGCCTCCCACCCCACGGCCCACCGGGCTCCCGAGTGCCGGTGAGAGCGAGGTGTGCAGCCGCTGCTGGTGGGGCGGACGCGGGCGTGGGCAGAGGGCAGGGCCGGGCGTGTGCTGGGGGCCTACTCACAGGAGCTGTGCCCTGGGCATTGAACCATCCCGGCCGCTCCCAGCCGTGCCGCTCCTGGAACACGCAGCCTCGTGCAAGGAGCTCCTGGTGGGGGGGGGACAGCAAGCAGACTCAGGCCCAGCGGGCCCCCAGAGCGGGGCAGGGGGGCCGGGACCTGCCACCTGACACCTCAGGGGGCGCGGGACAAAGAGGTGCCAGCGCTCGGACCCGGGACCCGAGCCCGGGCTCTGAGTCCAGCTCCAGGGCTTCCCCAGCACCCCGGCTGCCCGCCCTAGGAATCCCCAGTCAGTAGAACAAGCTTCTCCTGAAGACTGAGCTGCATCCCACACTCCTGTGCTGAGGCCCGATCCCCAGAGTGACTGTACCTGGGACAGGGCCGGAGAGGAGGGGATTAGGGAAATTGAGGGCCCAAGGGTGGAGAGGAGGAGCCGGCACGGCGGGGAGATGGCCGTCCCGAAGCCAGGAAGAGGGCCCTCACCAGGGACCGGGCGGTGGGCACCTTTACCCCTGACCATCCAGCGCCCGGCACGGTGAGAAATGAGCCCGAGTCCCCCGGCTGGTGGCGTTTGTTACGGGACAGCCGGGGACCCCGCGAGGCCACAGCTAGGAGTCCACCCCGGAGAAACGAAACCAGGGGAACAGCCAAGCTGTGCACACACGCATTCTCAACAGTCCAGAGGCCCATCAGCTGACGGATGCAGGGGTGACGAGTGTGGCCCATCCATGCGACGGGGTGTTAGCCTCCGACAGGAAGGACATTCTGACACCTCTTACATCACAGACGAACCCCAGGAGCAAGCGAAGGAGAAGGAGCAAGTCCCCGAAGGCCACATAGTGTATGATCCCATTTATAGAAATGACTAGACGAGGCCAACCCCCAGAGACAGACAGTGAAGCACTGGCGCTCAGATGTAAAGAATCCGCCTGCAACGCAGGAGACCCGGCTTCGATCCCTGGGTCGGGAAGATCCCCTGGAGGAGGGCATGGCAACCCACTCCAGTGTTCTTGCCTGGAGAGTCCCACGGACAGAGGAGCCCGGCGGGCTACAGTCCGTGGGGTCACAGAGTCAGACACGACTGAGCGACTAATACTTTCACTTTTGCGAGGCTGGAAGACGGGGGGATGGGGAGTTAATTGCTTAACGGGTACAAGGCTTCTTCTTGTGGTGACGAGAACGTTCTGGAACTAGCTGGAGGTGATGGTCGCACAGCAGCGTGGAGGCCCTGAAGACCCCTGAACTGAGCACTTTAGGCTCAAATGGCGAGTTGTATGCTACACGCACTTTGCCACAATAAAAAAGTACAGCCGACTCAGTAACTTATTACAGTGGCAGATCTCTTTGAAAATAAATGCGGTTTGTGGGGAAGAAAAGTATCTCCACTCTTGGGTTTGGAAGGTCCTGGGGCCAGGGCCCAGCCATTCCCGGGCCCTCCAGGCCAGGCCGGAGAGCGGGGCAGCCCAGGAACCTGTGTCTCTGTCCTGTGGGGTAGCGGGGAGTGTGCGTGGATGCCAGCTGCCTCCAGGGTCCAGGGACTAGTCTCAGAGGAAAGAGGCTCCGTCTTCTGTAAATGTGACCTGCTTGCTGAGCCTGCTGCCTGCCTCCTGCTCCACCCGTCCAGGGGACAGGCATTCCCTGAGCATCTATCCAGAGTCAGGCTCTGCACCCAGAGACAGGCCCAGTCCCCTCTGGCTGGGTCCTTGCAGACTGGTAAGCAAAGCATGCAGCCCAAGACGAGGGCAAGGAAGCAGGGAATGGAGATGGAATGGGGGTGAGAGGAACAGGGCACGGAGCCTGGGTTGCTGGGGGCCTGGCAGAGTGCCGAGGGGCAGGTCGCAGGAAAGGGCACCCGAAGACGGGTTTCATCATATGAGTAGAAGTTTGTCAGGAGGAACGACGGCCCAGGCAGGCTGCTGCCTGGCTCGACCTCCTGACCGGTGACTGCACACACCTGCCCCTGCAGCTCCCCCGCCTGCTATGCGGCTCCAAGTGTGTCTTACCCGCAGATGCCGGGAGCGAACCAGCGAACCTCATGTGCCCTGCAGCCGGGGTGCCGCACGCACGCTGTCGCCCCACACCCAGGACCCCCCAAGAGTGCCGCAGCCAGCCCAGAGCAGGCATGTGGGGCTGGGGTACCTCATGCAGGGGGTCTGTCCGCATGTTGCGTCCGGCCAGAGGCTCGTCGTGGGGGAAGACGACGGAGTAGTTCTTGGCATAGGCCTCGTGGCTGCGCTCGCGGATCCACCGGCTGTGGTCCGTGAGCGAGCGGTGGAAGCGCCTGTTGTGGACAGAGAGGGGCGCGTCACCACCCGGGGGCCCTCATCCTCTCCCAGAGTCCTCCCCCGAGGGGCTTCGTGCACCCCCAAGCCTTGGGGAGCTCAGACTCCTCGTCTGCAGCCCCCACAGCCGTCAGGCACAGGGACCAGACGCCGTGGGCGCAGGGCCTCAGGCTGGGGCCGCGCTGGGGGTGAGCCACGCCCCTCGCCCTCCTGGGGAGCGGCCCAGAAGCCCGGACCTTCTAGTGGAAGTTAACATTGGGGTCTTCAGAGTCTGGGGTCAGCAGGTGTGACAGAGGGCCCCTTACTCCGCAGGGCCCCCTCGGCAGAAAAAAGGGGTGAAGGTGAGACTCCCCCAAGAGGCACAGAAGCTCATCTGGAGACCCTAGCTGTGGCTGCGGACCCTGCACCCAGAGACAGTGTGACCAGGATCCCCGCAGGTTTGTCCCTTGGCTGCTGGGGGGACGCCAGGTGCAGCCGCGTCACCCCCAGGGGTGTCCAGCTCCACCTTCCGGGCCTTCACCCTTTCCCGCCAAGCTCAGAGGCGCCTCCCCAGGGCTCAGGCACCTCCCCCAGCCTGCTCACGGGCGCGATGGCCGGGCCGCCCGACGGCCCTTCTGCCTGGCGCCCTTGGACCATGGGGCCGCCCGAGCCAGACTGAGCACAGCCTCTGGGCCCTGCCGCCCTCCCCGGGCTCAGCCCAGCTCTCAGGCGCCCAGCGCAGCACCCTCCAGCCCCCACCATCCCCCCACCTGTGGGCATCTCTCTTGTCCCCCAGGGTCCTGCCCCCCGGGTGCGTGCCCACCGCGCTGCCGTCCTCAGGGAGCCCGCCTGGGCCTCATGGCGCCTGCCTGGCCCTCGGTTCACAGATTCTATTCTGCGCGGTTCCCCGATCTGGGCGGGGCAGCGGGACCACACTCATGAGGGTTCTGACGCTGACTCTATTCACAGTGGCTGCTGCCGCGTAAGGGGCTCTCCTCCAGGGCCGGCCCAGGGCTGGGAGCCAGCTGCGAGAACCCGGGGCTGGTCCTCAGAGCGGCCTTGAGTGCGGGGCTCCTGGTTTGACTCCTTGCATGGGACAGGAGACCAGCCTGCACCGAGCCAGGAGCTTCAGCACGAAGGCGGCTCGTGGATGGGGGTCTGGGGAGGGGGCCCAGGTGTAGCCAGGACCGAGGGGGACCAGCCCAGGGCAGGGCTGGGTGGCCCCCGAACAGACAGATCCTGCCCACATGGACTGGCCCACGCCGGCCCTCTGCTCACACCTGTGCACACCCGTGGGTGTCAGGAGCGGGCACTCGGCTCAGCCAGAGCACCAGCAGGGGTCAGCAGGATGAGGGCCACTCCCCGGGGCCCGCAGAGACCAGGCTGCCGTTCTCCACCTGCACACGGGTGGGCAGAGGAACCCACAGCCGGGGGCCTGCGCCCAGCCGCCCTCCTCTCCTTTCCTGGTTGCCAGGACCCCAGCAACTTTCCTAAAACCAATGGCCCATGCTCTGGGCCTCGCCTAGGTCAGGCGCCGGGTGGACACATCCATACCGTGAACCTCAAACACCTCCGCTGGGAGAGGGAACCCTTGTCCCCATCTCACGGGTGGGGAGACCCAGGTCAGAGAAGGGAATTGGCTGAGGGCCGCACAGCTAACTGGGGGGGGGTTGGGGGGGCTGGGGTGGCTGAGAACCTGTCTGGGTTCCAGAGAGGGTGCCACAGCCCCCCTGTAAGGCCACCAGGTGGGGTCCCGCCCCAGGAGTCTCCCCCACGGGTGATCCCCTGTCATCACCTCCGTGCCCAAGCCTGCCCTCCGCGTGTAACAGGAGGAGGTGACGCAGGCCGGGGCTCGGCTCCGACCCCCTGCATGTCTGAGCATGGGGGTGAGTGCGGCCCCCTGCTCCCCACGCAGGGCCCTCTTTTCCC